TTATCAGAAGTTATGGAGTTTGAAAATTCTACTAATATCATGAAAAAGTGATGTCCTTATAAGGAGGGGACTCAAACTCATTATACATAAACAACCTCAAAAGGATATTTGTTATGTAATAGTGGATGGAATGATTGAGTCTAATAGAAGTAGTAAGAAGGAACTTTATGAAATATACCATTAAGGTGATCAAATAATAGAAGCCAAACTTATACTAGAAGAGCTAAAAGATGGTGGACATGATGCTATAATGGATGAGATGAAGAAATCAACTTGGAAACTAAGGAGGACCCTTATCCAACTTTCATCTGCTCTATTATACTAGTTTATTAAGTAGAAAAAGTGAAAGAGCTGCTCTATGAATTCAGGGACTATTTTTCCTGAATATATGTTGAGATGCTCAACTTGTCCTCTAAAGTGACAGTTCCCAAACTATACATCAACTTCGATGTGATCACTGTGAAATAAGCTCCAAGATGAATGAAATTTCATATTGAACAATAGATGATTGTAGAAATGAAGAAGTTCATCAGGGCAGGCTTTATTTGGGAAGAATAATATGTTGACTAGATAGCCAATAATTTTCCCGAGAAAAATAAAAATGGGAAAATCCATATTTGCATTAACTTTTGGGATCTCAATAAGTTTTGTCTGAAAGATAACTTTTTCTCCCTGCATAATAACTACTAGCTAATGATGTTTCTAACTATGACATGTTCTTCTTCTTAGATGGATCATTAGGATATAATCCTATCAAAATGGCTCCTGAAGATAAAAATCATACATCATTTAAGATGGCTATCAAAATATATTATTAAATTGTCATACCTTTCAATTTGAAGAATGTTCGATCTATATAACAAAGGGCAATAACCATATTTTTTTATGGCATGATCCATTAGAAGGTGGAGTCTTACGTTGATGATCTTTTCGTCAAAATAAAAGACCAAAAATATCACCTTTTGAAAGTTACATTTAATAGAATAAGAAAATTTTATCTCAAAATAAATCTATTCAAATGTGCTTTCAAAATCGGGAAGTTTCTAGGATTTGTCATATGTCATCGAGGAAATTAAAATCGACCCAAATAAAATCAAGATGATTATGGAAGTGCTGACACCAAATATTCTTTGTCAACTTCACTCCTTATAAGGGAAACTTATTTTTATCAGTTTATTTAAAAAAAATTTAGTAGATGTCAAACATTTATATAGCTAATGAAGAAGGATATTCAGTTCAAGTGGTATGTCAAATACTAGGAAGCTTTTAACAATTTTAAGAGAAACCTTCTAATAACACCTATAGTTGTAACACTAATCATGGTAAAGTCTCTTATCTTGTACATAGTGGCATTATAAGAGTCTGTCAGAGCATTCTTAACACAACATACTAAATAAAGGAAGAAAAATGCTCTTTACTCTATCAGTGGAAGGATGATTGGGACAGAAGTGCATTACTCTCTAATTGAGAAGCACTATTTAGAATTGATTTTTATTATCCAAAAACTCTGGCATTGCATGTTTTCTCATTAGATCATGCTGATATCAAATAACAATCCTTGGATGTCCTTGATGATAAGACTAGCATTAAAATATCATTTAGCTAGATGAAAAATAATATTAACATAATTTAATATCATATATGTTTCTAATAAAGTAATGAAAAAATATATATCATTATAGTTTTTCTAGATGTACATCCTATCTTGATAGATTCAATACTGAATTATGATGTTCCATATGAGCAAATTTTGATCATCAATGAGAAGGAAATGTTACAGATTTGGGAGATGTACTTTAATGGAGCATTATAAATCAATCTTTCCATATATCACCCTCCAAAAGCCATATATGGTATTGGTCTCATATTTATAATGCCCAAACGGGGTATAATGAGATAATTAGTTGGTTTGACTAAACCATGTACCAATAATTAGACTAAATACAAAGCCTTAATAGCATGTCTATAAATTTCCATATATATAGGGATTTAGAATCTCTATATTTTTGAAGACTTTGACCTCATAATAAATCAAGTATTGGGCATCTACAAAATTAGTAAGCAAAAATTATTCCATCAGCATATGAAAGTTCTCGAGTAAATGAAAAAAAAAATATGAATATTACTTTAACGTGAATTTCTCAAGCTTTGAACTGTAATGCAAATGTGGCTGAGATATTTAGGGACTAATGGAACAATTGTGTTAAGATCTGCATTTTTGAACAACACTTTGTATCGAAGGTCCTTTGATCAAATGTATCTGTGATGTTTAGGGACTAATGAAGTTGATAAGGTTATATCAAAAGTACAAGAAGAGATTTATAGTGCACATAAATCAGTCCTAAAATATCCCTTAAGATCAAAAGAATTGGCTAATAATAGCCATCAATGGTTAAAGATTTCATCAAACATGCCAAGACATCCATGAATGTCTAGTTCACAATACTACTATACATCAACCGCCAAATCTGCTTCATCCGACAATCATATGGATTAAATAAAAGTATTGACCAGTGATTTGCTTTAGTATTTTTTTAATCAAATATGCATAGTCAATATTTACTACCTCAAGAGATAGATTGATACCATACTATCAACATGAAAAGAGAAATTATTTATTTTAATAATCAAACTGAGTATAAGGAATATTCAATTCACCCTAAAAAAATAAAATTTGAATTCATCATCATTTTCAAAATAAAACTTACCAAGGATTAGCTTTAATCTGCATCCAAAGAAATTTTCCCCTATCTTAGAAGAGTAATATATGGTTTATTTTAATATGGTTCCTTAGGTTCCCATAGAGGCAAGCCTCTACATATAATCATATCTATGAAAAGAAAAATTTTGATTATAGTGGAGACTAAACTTATTTTAGATTTCAAAAAGTTTATTATTTTTTACTTAAATATTTAAAAGATTCAATCAATCCTTTTAAAAATACTCTTTTTATTTAGTTTAAATTATAGAGTTCATTTGATAGGTTAGGATAATCTCCCTGAAAGGAAGTTTGTGAGGTGCAAATGCATTTGGACTTACACTTACCAAAAGTGAACTACCGGCTAACGACCTAAGCACACAATCTTTAAATTATGAAGTCCAAGTCTAATGCAAGCAAGAAATAGTTATTTTAATATTAAAATCTAGGATTCTTATTTAGATTTAAAATGAGAGTTTATTTACATGAATTAGATTAAATACAACTAGCTAATGCAAATTTGATGCAAAAGACACCCTAAACTATATGTCTTAGCTTTTTTACTTAAACTAAATTATTTAAATACTATGTCTGAATTTTTTAGAAAAATTTGGCAGCATAATGGCCCTAACCTATAGGAAAACTACAATAGTCTCATTACTCGGGCTCCCCATTCATTGTTGATGGTTTGTGTGCTAGGCTAGTGTGCATTGCAAAAAGTAAAATGCATGTATGTATGAATGTTAGGGAAAAGAACTCTATTGCCACAAGACTATTCCTCGACCACCGTCGGACTTCCACCCGGTAGCCGACCAACACTAGAGTACTACCCAATCGCCAACTAACGCTGGAGTTCTACCTGACAGCTAACTGACATAGGAGTTCTGCCCGGCCGCCGAATTTTATCAGATTTCTACCCGACACTGAAGTTATACCCGTTGTCGGACTTCTTCTTGTCATTGAACTTTCGACAGACTTCTACCCGACGTTGGACTTCCACCTGTCACCGAATTTTTTACCTGACGTTGGACATCCGCTTGTCGCCAAACTTTCCTCAGACTTCTACTTATTGCCAAACTTTCGCCCGCCATAAAACTTCCGACCTCCATCGCCAACTGACTATGATCCTTCCGATTTCCTTCACCACACAATAGTCTTTTAGACTACTGTCATCTGCCGACTATGATCCTTCTAACATATATCACTAGACAACGATCTTTCTGGCCACTACCACCACCTACTACGATCCTTTTGACTTCTATAGCCAAATTACGGTTCTTCTGACCTTCGTTGCTAGACAATGATATTTTCTGACCACTATCACCTGCCGACTACGATCCCTCTGACCACCGTCACAAGACTACGGTCTTTCTAACATCTGTCGCCTGCCGACTATGGTTCTATCGACCAAACATATGTATCAATAATGATTGTTTCAAGTCCATCATATAACACACTCTATATGATGTATATTTGTTACATTAAGCCAAGGCCTTCCCCCAAGGAAGGGCCGCATTTTTACTCGAGTGCAAATAATAGTTGATGCATTCAAACAAGGCGAGACCCCGTGATTTTTTCCTTTTTAGGGTTTTCCATACAAAAACCTTGGTTTCTTTTATGAATGCTTCACCTTCACTTTCTTATATTTGTATGTGTGCTGGATCTTCGTACAAAGCTAATACACTAAACTTATATTTCTCTATCGCCGTGAATATTTCAGGACGCACCAAGGCTATTTTTATAATTGCACTTTACATTCACATAAGATCCTAAGTACATTATATACTAATTCTTATAAGGAATAAAATCAATGCAAAAGCAAATATAATAAAAACCTGCAATGTAAGTGTGTAAGAACCTAATGAATCTAATACAATGTATAAGAGACTAAGATGCACCAATAAAAATTGAAACTTGTATGATATTGAGAGTGCTGGAAATAAATAAGCAAACTCATGATGATCTCCAAGCAAAGAATCTACAATCAAACCACATCAATAAGCCTAGACTAGAAATGATTGTACTAGCAAACAATCTATAATTTATGGAGAAGGTTGTATGGCTTTGATAAATCCAAAGAGTTTATTATTTAAATTGCATTATTTGAAAGTGTTTATTTATTAAAATCCAAAAAAAAAAAGGAGATTTTTAATTTAAGTTTTATGTCTTAATGATTTAATGTTTTATTATTTGTATTTTGAAACATTATAGTTGATTAATTATTTTTAAGGAATCATTAATGACTTCAAAGTGAAAAATCACTATTCTAAAAGTCCTATCACTCATAATTATAATACTACCATTCCTAAATCATAGCATTGTTGCATCGCAGCATCGGAGCATCATGTTCATCGCACTCAATACCTCTCTCGCCGGCGACGCAATCTTTGAAGACAACAACGGCAACCTCCTTCGATTCTTCCTGCCCTCTTTAAATTCGTCTTCTTCCCAGTCAGCTCCATGCTCTAGGGTTTCATTGATTCCAGAGAAGGGGAGAAATTGGGAATTCGAGTTCTAGCTGCCATCACCATGGGACAAACTCTCTGCTTCTTACGAGATAAAGCCCAAGGCAAGCTTTCCATCCCTTCTATTCTGATTTTATCTCCTTTGGATTGATAATTATGTTCGAAGCTCAACCGTGCTTAGTGATCGCTTGAACTTGCTCTGATTTATACGCATATATTTTGTAATATATTTATTTATATAAACGAATACTATGTAATATATGGGTTCAGATATTCTCCAGTTTTCACGAGAATTGAAGAGATGCATTTGAATAGGTACCGTTAACTAATCCTAGCTATCTAATTCATTTGGGTGTCTTAGATTGAATTGTTTATTTTTATTAACATTTTTTCTAAATACTCATGTTTAATGGATATCCTTGCCACCTAATGGATTGAACGGCTTTGATGAGTTAACTGCACTTCTCTGGGCGGGCGGGTGTGTTTATCTTATTCATATTTTATTGAAACAAATAACAATACGTGTATTAGTGAATAATAAAATATTTTTAACAAATTTACCCAGGATTAATAAAGATGTTAGTCAAGAAGATCAGTGTTTTGCTTTACAAGCTGCCACCAAAATCATGCTTGGAAGAATCATGAAATAGATTAATTTTTATGATAGCTAGTATAAAACCGTGTAGTTTGGTTTCTTTTGCAAAGGAAGTCTTAAAACTTCATAATTAAGGATAAAATTTTATACTATTTGTAAACAAGGATAACTAACTGATACGTCATCAAAAATTTATCTTGATCGGGCACGAATCTCGATGCAAAATTAAGTTGGAAACTTCAAAAATTAATTCATAGACCATCTCAACTCCGATTTCAGCAAACTTATAGTCAAACTGAGTGTCTCGGAAATACGAACCCAACGACACCAAATTCAACCCAATCCAAGCCCAAACAGGTCCAAATCAAGGACCCAAAGGGTTGTTGGAAGCTTTGTACCACTGTTTGAGTTACCAAACGGTCACCGATTTTAACGAGCTTATACTCGAATCGAACGGCTCGACGAGACGAATCCAACGAACCCAAGAACACTGAATTCCGAAATCACTAAGACCTCCAAATGCCTGACGAATGGTACATGATCAAGGGTTCAATATCGGCCGTCCATCCAACCACTCTCCATTTACCCTTGATCTCTCACCTATTTACGGGGCATGTCACTCCAGAAAATCTATAAATAGACCTCTCATTTCTCTTGAAAGGGGACCCAAGCAAGAAGGGAAGAAGAGAAGAGAAGGAAGAAGAGAAGGAAGAAGCTCCTCCTCGACCACCGCCGGAACCTCACCGGACCACCGCCGGAGCCTCGCCAGACCACCGCCGGAACCTCGCCGGACCACCACTGGAGCTTCGTTGCATTCTGCTGAAGGCCCGACGCTCTGCTCAAGGCCCGACATTCTGCTGAAGGCCTGACGTTCTGCTGAAGGCCCAACATTCTGCTCAAGGCTCGACATTCTCCTCAAGGCCCGACGTTCTGGCCCGACATTCTGGCCCGACGTTCTGCTGAAGGCCTGACGCTCTGCTCAAGTCCCGACATTCTGCTCAAGACCCGACGCTCTGCTCAAGGCCCGACGCTCTGCTCAAGGCCCGACATTCTGCTCAAGGCCCGATGTTCTGCCGAAGGCCCAACATTCTCCTCAAGGCCCGAAGTACTGTTCAAGGCCAGACTACCAACTAACACTCGAACTTCTAGGTGACGCCGGGTCTAACACCAGACTCCTATCGAATAGTTACTAGTTGTAATCTGATCACTCTTGGAGGCGATTCAACCCTTTGTAACCGACTCAAATTCTAGTGGAATCATTTTCAACTGGGCTAGGCCCTGTGGTTTTCCCCCCTTTTTAGGGGTTTTCCACGTAAAAACTCTGGTGTCTCTTATGAATGTTTCACCCCCTCTCTTATCTGCTTGTGTGCTGGATCTTCGTACAATGCTAAGACGTTAAACCATATATTTCTCTACCGCCACGAATATTCCAGGACGCAACACTAACCATGACATAAATGTTAGGTTTTCTTAGAAATTTGGTAAAAATGCCTAAGTTTGTTGAAGAACTATCTCACTATTAGAGATTTTTATGAATTTTTTTTTTCATATTAGTAGTGATGTTGTTAAAAGTGTGTTTCGGGAGCAAAGCGAAGTGATTAGCTATAGCTTTCCTGTGAAGCACAAGCTTATAGCAGAGTGCGCCTTTTGCCCAATTTTGTTGGTCGCATCATAGTACCCTGCACTCGGTTCTTGCTCAAAGTGAAATCCTAATTCATATTTCATTGTTTGATTTAACATATACCACAATAACTTGGCATGATTGTATACTTCTAGTAATTATTTCTCAAAATCATGACAAATTGTTTCTCCATTCTTTTCCACTGGAGCTAGCTCCTTCTTGGTGGTTTTCTCTTCATGCTAACTCTCTGGCTAATTCTTATTTCTTTTCACTTATTTCTTGGTGTTGGTTCTAGTAGATGCTTACTGACAAGCATCTCTATAAGAATATTTTCTTATGCTATCTTCACACTATCTCTTGCTTTATATTGCCTCCGTCTCTCAATCTCAACATGATCACTCAATTTCATGAATATATTCTTGATTTTCAAATTTTCTTACATCACTTTATTATTTATATAATATATATTTTTCATTTTTTCGGCCTTTGAATAACTAGAAATATTTATCATTGAATGTATCATTATCATTTTTTTTAAAAAAATTACTTCATATGGTTTAATTTTGGTTAATTAAATAAGCATATAATATATGTATATTGTATAAAACTCATGAACGCTCTAGTTTGTAAAAGTGTCGTTTTGCTTTGTGTTTTGCAAATTAAAATAGAAAAGAACTCTCGCACATCTCATTGTAGTTAGTGTCTCTAAAATATTAGAAACTAGATATTATTAAAATAAAAGGTCAGTGTAAACTAACCTTGGAAGCGATTGCTTGTTTTGAAAAAACCCTGTCAAATATACTAGAGTTAACTGTCATTAATTGTAAAATAAGATAAGCTATTATCCTAATTTATAAAGTTCTATTTCTAATTCTTTTTTCGTAATAAGATCAAACTACAAGTGGTAAAATATATTGTTTTGTACTTGATTCTTTTCTCTCTGTTTTGCTGTCCTCCTTGCACTTCAATTTTAAGGCAACAACAAATTATAACTTTTGCCTCACCTCGGTTTTATTTAATGCGAAGCACTACCTGACTCTTCTAATGCTCTGATGCTGAGTTGAAACATTTTTCATTTTACTTTCAGGAAAATTGCAAGTACGAAGGATATGTGACAGAGTATTTGATCAATGTGCCGACAATAACCTTTTATTATTAGACAAACTTCATGTTGCTACCCTAATGGTGTATAAGTAAGATCAACTTTCTTTTGCAATTATTAATTTGTTATACTATTAGCATGTTCTTGTGGATGCTTCACCTGTTATATATTGTTGTTCTTTCAGTTCAGTGAACAAGCAATTACTTAGTCCTCATAAGGAACCTCCTTCGTTGGCAATAGTAAGAGCTACAGTAGAGGTATGGCATAATTAATGCCCGTTTTGAACTGTTTGTTTGAAGCATGCATTCTTTCGTGCTTATTTTAGATAAATAAGCAAGACAAATTTTTGTGTAGTTGATTGCTGAAAAGATTGACTTTCTTTCTTTTTGCATTAAGAATATTTGATTTTCACTACAGTTATGCATCATTTTGATAATGACAATGTTCCCACAGTAGAGATTGATTGAATTTGTAGATGGTAAAAATAGTTTATGCTGAGGATGGTAGAGCAAGTAATTCAAACTCTAATAAATTTTTGTATCCAAGACATGTTGCTTTTAAAAGGTTTTGATTCACATCCAATTCTGATATAGAGTATAAGTTAGATTCTTAATGTACTAGCATTAGGTCTTGCTTATTATTTTAAGCTTTAGGGTTTATGCATGTCCAACTAGTAGTGTATGGGACTTGGGCTCTGGGTGTATCAGTTTTCTAGCAAGTGGTGTCTGGTTTGGTTGAGATGGAGTTTTCAATTGTTTGTGGTTTCTATGGGTTTTGGCGGTTTTTATCATGGTTGCTAAGGTTCAAGAGTGGGTTACTCTTATGTAGGCTCCATGTAAGCAGGATAATAGTCACATTAGTATATTGGAAACTCTTATTTTAATTTATAATGAGGAATATTTACACCTTTATGTGAACATCATTATTTTTTGTTTCTTCAAACTTCCCTTGAGCTTGCTAATTCTTTAATTTTTGAGCTGAAATTTAGCTCATTATGAGCTAGTTTTTTAGTTCATTTATTGAACTAAAAGTTAGCTTATTATGAGCTATGTTTTTAGTTCATTTATTAATTTATTGGTAGCTCATTAATCTTGTCTCTTCTCCTTCCCTTTTCTTCTTAAAATTCTGAGTTGTCCCATGGGTTCCCGTGCCTTGGCTCCTTGGTTCCCACGGTTGGCTGTGCTGGGTGGTTTTCCTGTGCCTTGGTGCCTCGGTTCCGTGCGGACCTCCTTGGTTTTTGCGGCTACCTCTTCGGGTTCCGTCTGGGCTGTTTTCCCGTGGCTGTTGGAGGGCTTTTCAGTGGCTTTGGTGCTTTGTTTCCTGTGAAGAAATGGGAATATTATGAAGTGGCTGTTGGCTTTTCATTTCCCTCATTTAATTAGCTTTTAATTAATGTTTTGGGGCTGTTTGTATTCTCTCTTTTGGTCTATAAATAGGAGATGTTTGTGGTTTTTTTTTAAGATATATGAGTGATTTTTGGAAGCCAAAATCTGCGGGTTTCTTCTTGGAAAAGCTTGAGAGCTTGTTCCATTCTCCTTCTCCTCTAGGAAAGCTTGTGAGCTTCTCCTCTTTCTTCTCGGGCTTCTAACTTCTTTCGTCTCTCCGCAAGTTTCATTCCACCAGTATCCTTCTTCTCAAGGCTAAGCAACTTTAGGTGTTTAAGGTGTCTTTATTTTCCAAGTTTGTAAGTGTTGTTTGTAAGGTGTTTTGTTTGAGTCATTTGTAAGTGTCCAAGTTGTAATAGTTTTTTATTTTATAAAAGGTTTGTTTTTGTCTAATTTGCCTAATTTCTATGAGTTATTGTAATCTTCTAGATCCTAGAAAGAGTTTATTTTTTTGATAAAAAATTTGGGGCCCTCTCCCAAATTTTTGCTTGCAGCATTTTGGTATCAGAGCAAGTTAGGAAGTCCAGGTTTATGAGTCAACTTGTCGTGGGTGTCTTGATGTCATGTAAGTTTTGTTTATGAGTTCTAGTGTGTCGTGGTAAGTCATAGTAGTTATTGTGCGAGTCTTTTTGTTGAGTCTTTTTTTTTAGGAAAAAATGAAAAAAAGACAAAAATAGTGATCCAGTGGAAGAAAGCAATCCAGAAAATCTTGAAGTCCCTCTTCCGATGGACAGATGGATTCCAATAGAAGGTGATTCAACAGATCCACTACTAGATAGATTATACAAACTTCAATATCACATGTTCTTATGTGATGAGAAATACAAGAAAAGGAAGAAGTATCTTGAAAGACAGTTCGAGATAGAGCAAGAAGAAATTTTCAAGAAATTTAAAGCAAAAATTCAAGAACTGGATGCACCGTCTTCGCCTTCTCAGAAGAAAACTAAAAATGACTCATCGGGAGATGAGTTTTTCAAGTAGGGGAGTCTAATGTAGGCAGGGGGGTTCAAACCTAATCAAAAAATTTGGGTTTTGACTTCCCTTGAGCTTACTAATTCTTTAATTTTTGAGCTGAAATTTAGCTTATTATGAGCTGGTTTTTTAGTTCATTTATTGAACTAAAAGTTAGCTTATTATGAGCTATGTTTTTAGTTCATTTATTAATTTATTGGTAGCTCATTAATCTTGTCTCTTCTCCTTCCCTTTTCTTCTTAAAATTCTAAGTTGTCCCATGGGTTCCCGTGCCTTGGCTCCTTGGTTCCCACGGTTGGCTGCGCTGGGTGGTTTTCCTGTGCCTTGGTGACTCGGTTTCATGCGGACCTCCTTGGTTTTTGCGGTTGCCTCTTCGGGTTCCGTCTGGGCTGTTTTCCCATGGCTGTTGGGGGGCTTTTCCGTGGCTTTGGTGCTTTGTTTCCTATGAAGAATTGGGAATATTATGAAGTGGCTGTTGGCTTTTCATTTCCCTCATTTAATTAGCTTTTAATTAATGTTTTGGGGCTGTTTGTATTCTCTCTTTTGGTCTATAAATAGGAGATGTTTGTGGCTTTTTTAAAGATATATGAGTGATTTTTGGAAGCCAAAACCTGCGGGTTTCTTCTTGGAAAAGCTTGAGAGCTTGTTCCATTCTCCTTCTCCTCTAGGAAAGCTTGCGAGCTTCTCCTCTTTCTTCTCGCGCTTCTAACCTCATTTGTCTCTCCGCAAATTTCATTCCACCTGTATCATTCTTCTCAAGGCTAAGCAACTTTAGGTGTTTAAGGTGTCTTTATTTTCTAAGTTTGTAAGTGTTGTTTGTAAGGTGTCTTGTTTGAGTCATTTGTAAGTGTCCAAGTTGTAATAGTCTTTTATCTTTTAAAAGGTTTGTTTTTGTCTAATTTGTGTAATTTCTATGAGTTCTTGCAATCTTCTAGATCCTAGAAAGAGTTTCTTTTTGTGATAAAAAATTTGGGGCCCTCTCCCAAATTTTTGTGATGGCAATAGCTTTTAGGCTAACAAATGAAAATCTTTAGTCAAGTAGTTTCCTAGCTAATTTCCTAATTGTTGTCTGCTTTATTCATGGTAAGAAACTTTGCATGTGAATTTACCGGAAAAAAAGGTTAATTTGAAATCTTCATGGTGTTTATTTCGACATAATTGACAATAAAGACTTGATTATATGTTAAGTATGTTATAAAATGCTTTGCCTACTAAGGATATTCAATGCTTCAGTTTGTGACTATACGACAAAACAATTTTCATGTGAATCTTTGTTATTGCCTGACAACTTTTCAATTGAAAGTGATTAATATAATTGAGACATCATCTAGTTTAGCATGTTTAAAATAGCTTGATAATATGACAAAGTAAACTAATAGCCTTGTAAAATAGGTTGATAAGAAATTGAGGAGAAATACACCGGCATTGTTCAGACATATATTGAATGCAATGATGAAGTGTTAAATCGATATAGAAATTTGGCTTGAAAAATGTGGTGTAATTGATGTTCTTAAATTTTCTAATTTTCCTTGCTCCCAGTCAGGTGAATAAGAATATAGTTCTCATTTTCTCTATGCGTATGCATGTTCATGGTTGAAAAACTAGGTGAGTTTCGAAACAAAAGGGTATGGTGTTGCGCGAAACTCACTAGATGTGCATCGACCGAAAATCCAAATCGCCGAAATAACCTCCATTCACAAAATAGACAATGCCAGCACATTCGTAGCAACAAAAAACAACTAAGATCGACACTCATATTGAAAGAGATCGTCGATCAATAAAAATTTAAATTTTGCAAAAGTGGATTGAGATGGCATCAACGTGCGTGAATGATGATGATGATCTGACTGCGATGTTGAATCACAATTAATTAAAAATTTTTAATATCATATAATTATAAATAATAGTAAAGGGAGAGAGATAAGAAAAAAGACCAAATTTAAGTAAATCCCTAAATACCCTCACTCACACTCATTCACTCATAACACTCCACTACTGATTCCCTCATGATTCACACACACACACACACACTCACTCACGCGGCGAATTATTGCGTCCGGTCACCTGATGTTCGGACATCCAATCCCGTGACGCCACGTCACCCAAATACATTGGGTCCCGGTGTATTTTGATAACGTGGTGACACCGGATTGGTGTCCGGACGAATCCGGACACCTGACGCAATAATTTGCCCACTCACGCACAAAGCTCATACTCGAACTCCCTCTTCCTCGCTCGGCTTCTCCTCTCTCACACGACCCTAAGCTGTCGTCGACCACTCCAATCGCCACCAAGGTAACCAACTTCTTGTTTTGCTTCTCTCTTTCTTCTTCTTCTTCTTCTTCTTTTCTCTTTCTTCCTTCTCCATTTCCCCCCATTTTCTATTATTCTTTCACTCATCTTCTTCTCCTTCATCTTCTTTTCTTCCTCATCTTCTTCTTCCAAAACCTAAATTTAACCTTGACCCTAAAAATTTTATTTCTCCATCTTCACCACTCAAACCCCTCATCCTCCTTCATAAAAAAAGCCTTCTATGGTGTGGAAGAATGGGTTGGATGGGTGGCTTCGAATAGAGGGGATACGGGTTGGATTTTCGAAGTGTTGAAGCTCTTATGTGGAAGAACGGTAGTTGGATCTTAAGCGTTGGTTTGAGGTAAATCAAATATGTGGACATTTGGTTAAGGAAGAAATCAGAGAGCAGGATTTGGAAGTGGGATGGAAGTCGGGAAGCAAGAGGCTACTACAGTATTAGTGTTGTGAAATCAAAGAAGAAATGGAGGTCGTGCGCGTGTTCCTGTTTTTAACAAAGGAGTAGGGCAGTCGATCAAGATGATCTTCAACAAATATCTCACGAATAGGCACGAGGAAGGATTTTAGTGGGATTTACACAAACATCAGCG